GGAAGGAAACACCCAAGCTCAGAGAGCATCAAGGACCACACAGTCCTCCTCCTTCCTGCAAACCCCACTCCCTTCTAGCACTGATGATGTTATCTAGTTGGGTAATGAAACGTCTGGAAGGAAACACCCAAGCTCAGAGAGCATCAAGGACCACACAGTCCTCCTCCTCCTTCCTGCAAACCCCACTCCCTTCTAGCACTGATGATGTTACCTAGTTGGGTAATGAAACATCTGCAAGGAAATAACCACGTTCAGAGAGCACCAAGGACTCCAAAGTCCTCCTCTCCATAAACCCCACACTCCTCTGGCACTGATGCTGTTACCTACTTGGATAACAAAACGTCTGCAAAGAAAGAACCAAACTCAGAGAGCATCAAGGACCACACAGTCCTCCTCCTCCTTCCTGCAAACCCCACTCCCTTCTACCACTGATGATGTTACCTAGTTGGGTAATGAACGTCTGCCAGGAAACAACCACGTTTAGAGAGCACCAAGGACTCCACAGTCCTCCTCTCCATAAACCCCACTCTCCTCTGGCACTGATGATGTTATCTAGTTGGGTAATGAAACGTCTGGAAGGAAACACCCAAGCTCAGAGAGCATCAAGGACCACACAGTCCTCCTCCTCCCCCTCCCTGCAAACCCCCCTCCCTTCTACCACTGATGATGTTACCTAGTTGGGTAATGAAAGTCTGCAAGGAAACAACCACATTCAGAGAGCACCAAAGACTCCACAGTCCTCCTCTCCATAAACCCCACTCTCCTCTGGCACTGATGCTGTTACCTAGTCGGGCGACGAGATGTCTGCAAGGAAACACCCAAGCTCAGACTCCACAGTTGGGGATAAGAGCCATCCTTTGCTCCCTTGGGTTCTAGATCGCTAGCCTCAACTTATCAATCTGGCATGGCTCAGAAGGATTGACGAGGTATCCACCCCAGCCAGGAGAAAGAAAACAGATCGTATACATTCCAAAAACTGGGGGAAATGTCGTTGCCTTCCCCCACCCCTTTTTTTTAATTTAAACATGTGTGGGCCGACCTAGTTGAATAGAAAGGTAAAGGAGATGAATGCAAGGCAGCCCTACATCTGATTTCCATATGAAAAACGGACAGAGCAGCCTCTTTTCCAAGGTTACTCCTGCTTAACTCGAGCCCAGCAACCCCGAAGAAAAAGATAAGATCCAGGCGTCCAATAAATCACGACAGTCCTTCTTTGCGCTTCTCAATTTATCTCTGCCCGCGGAGAGACATCAGAGACGGGGAAGACAGACAGGGGGATATTTTACCAGGGCCTGGAAGCGAATCAAGAAAAGGAATACAGTTAACTGGGTGTCTCAGGCATGAGCCAAGACAAAAACCACATTAAAAATACTAGCTGCAATCTCTTGCGCTGGTAAGAAGGATGGGCGGGCCAAATGAGAAGAGGCAGGAATTCAACATGGTATTGTGGGGGAAGGAGAGACAAGGACAGAAGTTTTAGATATTAAAACAGTGATTGAATGCAAACCCCAAAGACAAATTCACCTTGGTGGTTTGTTTGGGGGTGGGGGTGGGGGGTGGAAACAGGACTGGAAGCTCTTAAAGCCAAATCAAATTTACCGTTAAAAAATGAAGCTGTCTAATGGTTTTTGGATGAAAAGAAGAAGAAGAAGAAATTCTGCTAAATTGATCACTAAAGTCTGTATGGGAGAATTTGGCCTCTGTACATATGATATCTAAGTTAAGGCAGCATTGGGTGTTGCTCCTTGCCTCCAGATTAATCTAAGCCTATCAGCGGCTACGATGCTGAGCTGGTCGATCAGGAAGGTCGCCAGTTCGGCAGTTCGAATCTCCAGCGCCGAGTAACGGAGTGAGCTCCCGTTACTTGTTCCAGCTTCTGCCAACCTAGCAGTTCGAAAGCAGGTAAAAAATGCAAGTAGAAAAAATAGGGGCCACCTTTGGTGGGAAGGGAACAGCGCTCCGTACGCCTTCAGCGTTGAGTCATGCCGGCCACATGACCACGGAGACGTCTTCGGACAGCGCTGGCTCTTCGGCTTTGAAACTATTTTTCTAGTTGCATTTTTACATGCTTTCGAACTGCTCAGTTGGCAGAAGCTGGGACGAGTAATGGGAGCTCACTCTGTTACATGGCACTAGGGATTCAAACTGCCAAACTTTCTGATTGACAAGCTCAGTGTCTTAGCCACCGAGCCATCGCGTCTCTACAATATCTTCATCATCGAATTCTCTCCACATTAATATTTCCTCTTTTTTATATATATCTCCTCCTTTCTAACTTCTGTTTCTATTGGTAAAATACATCCCGCGTCAAAAATAATTCAGTTGCTTCTTCTTAACAGCAAGCGTTAATCTATCCATTTCTGCGCATTCTAATATTCTCTTAATTACACTCTCATCTGATGGAATCTCACCATTTCCCCATTGCTGCACAAATACAATTGGAGTCTCTTTGTTCTTTGATGTTGTTTTTGGAAGTGGGTCTCGCAGGCCCTTGGCTCAATCTAAGTAAGGTGGTGTTTATTGTGGTGTATGTGTGTGTGTGGGTGTGTGTGTGTGTGAGAGAGAGAGAGAGTAGAGAGAGAGAGAGAGAAAGAAACAGCAAAAGAGCAGGTTCCTTAATCTTCCCAGCTAAGTCGAATCAACCACCTTGGCATCTTCACCAAAAGATNCGCCCCATAGAATCTCCTAGTGCAGCGTCCTTTTTCCTCTACCTGTTCTAACCAAAAGCCCTATCAATTGAGCCAATCGATGACAGGGAGCCGCAGCAGAGGGATGAAAGAGCCACATGCGGCTCCAAAACTGCAGATTGCAGACCCCTGGGCTAGAGCATTTTATTGTGGGCATTTCTTTTTGTTTTTGGTAGATTAATAGATTAGTTTTTTTAAAAAAATGATTTAAATCTGTTTCAAAAAAAGCATAATGTTAAATTTAATACGGGTGGTCCTTGACTTTTGACCACAACTGAGGCCAGAATTTCTATTGCTAACCAGATGATTGTTAACTGAATCATACCCAATTTTGCTACCTTTTTTGCCACAATTATTAAGCAAATACCTTCAGTTACAAGTGACTCACATATGTAGCTGTTGATTGAATCTGAATTCCTCCGCTGATTTTGCTTGTTGGAATATGACTGGGAAGGTCGCAAATTATAATCACATGACTGTAGGATGCTACAACCATTATAAATATAAGCTGCTTGCCAAGCACCCACATTTTGATTGCGTGATCATCGGGTTGCTGCGATGGTCCTAAGTGTCAAAAGACATTTTTTTCAGTGCTGTCATAACTTTGAATGGTGGCTGAATGAGTGATTTGTAACTTGAGGGCTATCTCAAGTAAATCAACAGTGGATTGCAATAGCAGTAGAAGAGAGGAAGGGAAACAGATAAGCCCTGGAGGCTTAATCTGTTCCTCTCCCAATAAACCATGATATATTGACCAAATGTCTTGATGGTTTATATCTGGGAGGATTATGAATAAAAATTTGAATGTGAACCATTCATGGCCCAAAGGCTTTTCAGTGGCTTATGCAAGTTTGTAAAGCAGCAGCTTTGTGAACTTTGGCCCAATAAAGCCATGATGGGTTTGTTAGCCTTTAATGTGCTGTGATTCCTTGTTCTTGTTAGACAGGCTGTGGCTGTGTGTCACTTAACTTATTTCGAAGGCTAGTTGCAAGGATAAATTAGCCAACGGTATTCACTCTGAATCTTACTAATCAGGTGGGCCCTAAACCCTAAATACACACAGCAATTAAGCAGCAATTATCAAAGATGTTTAGGAAATAGTGACCTTGTTCAGGTTTTATTATTTGAGCTGAAACTGGTTTTGTTTTCCCTTCAGGCTGCTTTGACCAAAATGCTGCTGAAGAAATCGGTGCATTCTCCGAGCCACCCGCTGGTAGATTACCACTACACTGGTATGTTGCAATAAGTAATAGCTGTAGTTCCTTTTATCCTTCCCAATTGTAAGCACAAGGAACTTTTAGAATCGCCACCCTGATAAATTGGAGGAACATTTTTATATGCAGGAGATAATTTCTTCATCTTAGAATACTGTTATTCTCCAATTTAAGCTCTGGCTGGCTTTAACACAGTTTACTTTTAGAAATAAAAGTAAAGTTGGAAAAACATTGTGTGGTCTAGTATGCATGTGTGCAGGCATAGGGAATGTGGAAAAGATGAATCAGGCTATTAATAAATGACAATTTTATGTTTAAAGAATCTTAAGTATAATTGAAATAAATTTGTGCATAAAAGTGCCCAATCTGTTGCCTGGTAAGTAGCTTGGACTGCAACTTCCAGAATTAGTAGTCACATGATTAGGAATTACGGAACTTTTAGGCCAACATTTCTAGAGGATAGCAAGATTTAGAACATTAAACATTAGTGGCATTGGCTATTTCCCCTAATCTCAGCCTGTTGTACCATATAGGGGGGAAAAACCCATTCCTACTGATGGTTTTATTCCTGCTAAAGAAAAAAATGGACACAAATTTTGTGGTTTTGAACAGTTCTCTGTTCAAATAAGCAAATAAATTTCGAGATCACCCTGTGATATGTATGCCTCTCACTTTATCTGACATAACATAAAGGATTACCAGGTTTATCTGTAGCTAGGATCTTTCTGGAAAGAAGAGACTAGCAGTACCGGAAATTAGTTCAACAATCTAAAAAATTGGCAACCTGTGGATATCTTTGAGAACTTTTGAGGATAAGCAAATCCTTTGTCAGCAATCCTTCTGATCTCTGTAAAATCTTAATTCATTTAAACAAGAGCAAAGGCTGTGTTTACTTTTTCGGTGACAGGTGAAGAGCAAGGGAAGAAAATGTATTCTGGACAGTTGCTGCAGATTGCTCCTAGAACAACTAACCTGAATGTACATCATGTACCTTATGTGTCTATCAGTTCGCAGGATGTAATATTTGACAGAAACAAATTTAAACTTCTCTTTACTTTATAGAAATAATATTTCAAACACTTCTGGTTTTGCTTACTGCGCAATATTTTATTATTTATTTATATGAATTACATACTGGACAGAACCCATGAGATGTGACTTTCTATCTACAGTTAATTTAAATGCCAAGGAATTAGAGATGATGATTGGCACGGACTTGGATTGTGACAAATATAGTAGCATGCCATTATACAGTATTGGAATTTACTCCAAATACTAACCTCCTTGTCTCATACCTCATGATAGCACTGGCTAATCTGCTCCGATGTTACATAAGAAGATAGTTGGGAGATGTGCACAATCTTTGTGAACTCTTTAGTTAGCACTGATCTGAGGTCACTAAATTTTTGGCAGGGCAGGAAAATGCTCAATGGCATGTGTGACCCTATAGAACAGTGATGGCTAACCTTTTTCTAAAGGTGTGCCAAAATTGTGTTTGTGTGTTTGTGTTATCGCGTGCCCACCCACCTGTGCATGCACACACGACACCCACCCGGTGCATGCACGCTTCCCTGCACCATGTGTGGAGGGGGGGGGGAGTTTTCACCCTTCCCCAGGCTCTGGAGGCTTTCGTGGGGTGGGCGAAAAACAGGCCCAACAGGCCAACCGGAAGTTTGTTCCCAAACTTCTGGTTGGGCCGTTGGGCTGTTTTTCACCCATCCCAGGCTCCAGAGGCTTTCCTGAAGCCTGGGGAGGGCGAAAACAGCCTCCACCTCACCTCTGAAAGGTAAAAAAAACCAGCTGATCGACGTGCTGGATATGAGGGCTGCCGTGCCGGCAAATATGGCTGTGCGTGCCACAGGATCGCCATCATGGCTATAGAACGTAGAACGATGCTGCCCAAGCACATGACTTCAGAGCCTTTTGTTCATGTAAGGGTAAAACTAGCTCACCTTAGAACCCATTGCCCTAAACAGATACTTGTCTTGATTCAAAGTAGGTTATGATTGTAAAAAGAAGTACTTGTATCCCTCCATTTCATTCCAAACATGTTTTTCATGGCTTCTTTCTTCACGTTGAAAAGCAAAACTAAACTTTCCCTTGAATTGAGCTCGTCATTTGGACAAATCTATGAAACATGGCAGTGTTGCTAGCAGAATGTCAAAGTAGTTTGCTATGACTTCTTTCTGGGTTATTTTTTCTTTCTTTCTTATTTGTAAAACACTACCCATCAAAGTGTTTTGGACTAGGTGTATAAGATAACCTTGTTTCTATATGTTGTCAGTTTGTAAGACTTCAGAATTTTGGGTATTCAGGGATATTTAAATTTCATTTAAAATCAATTATCAGATTCCAGTGAAAAGGCTTAATTTAAAAAACCATCTGGCAAGGCTTCTGATTTAATCCAAGAATAATATATTTAAGTTAATTGAAGCAGGATAGATGAAATGTTCATATAAGATCTGTCTTGACAAGAAAAAACTTATGTTGGAAAATAAGTAATGGAATGGAATTTATATGTCACTATTTTTTTTCTTTTTCCAGGGTCAGACAGCTGGAGCGTGGCTGAGAAGAAACACTTCAATAAGGGAATTGCTATCTATAAGAAAGACTTCTTCCTTGTCCAGAAACTTGTGAGTCTTTTCTCAGGTCCCTAACTCATGACAAAAAAAAAAAAAAAAAAAATGGCAGGCACCTCTAGGATACATAGATATGTCTCTGGCTGATTAATTTTGCAATGTTTTGACCAAGCACTAGGAAAAAAAGACACCGCTTAAAGCTTGCTTGGAAGACTTTCCAGTGCAATTTTGGGAAGTGAATGGGACCAAACTCTGGAGCCTCCTGCTGTGTGTATGGAAATCCAATGGTGTGGCGATAGGACAGAATAGAATAGAATAATCTTTAATATTACCTTTATTCTGGAGCCCAGGGTTGAATTGCTAGACTCCAGAATAAAGGTAATATTAAAGATTAGGTATTAAGATACTTCTTGGGGCAATGATACAAAAGTGCTGATAATTTCAATGATTGGAGCCCCGACATAATCTCTTTGTCTTTTCACAAGAGGAGTGAACAAACCAGCAGACTTATTCTAGAACAGTTAAGCATTGTTTCTTCCTCAGAATGAAGCTGCAAGATAGAGTCAGTTGAAGAATATGCTACTTCATGTGAAAGAAGGAGTGAAGGAACTCTTTCAGCATAGCCAAAAAAATCAGTTCCTTTTTTGCTTTTTGATCCAAACTATGAAAAGCCATATGTAAAACCTATGTGCAACTACGAGCATTTCACGGATGCCCTCAGATTATCTGCCTAATATATTGCAAAACAGAGATGAACAACTACCATTGCTTCAGTGGTTGCATCAGATTTCTTTATTTAGCATTTAGTTTTTCATAATCCAAGCCCTTTTGATCCAGCAAAGCATTCAGCTGCCACCATAGTCTGAAAACCCCCACTGCAGTTTGCGCAAAATTAAATCTCTTATTTCATATATAGCAACGCCATGATTCCTAAGTTTTCATCCGACAAGTGGCCTTTGAAACCCAGAGATCAATTTCCACAGTATTTAGTCTCAGAAATTTGTTGCACATATGCCAACATTCAGGACAATGGGTCTGGATAGCAGCCAGGGGTTTTGAAGCTCATGGATTTGCCCAGTGAATTTGTAGGCAATATAATTGCTTTTTGTGTTGAAATTTGACCCGTTTGATTTGTAAACAACTCAGTAATACCCTAATAGAGTAGATTATTATTCCAATTCCTGTAATTATGTTGGCTGGTTTTCTCCTATAGGATTCCAGCCTACTCAAGGACTTGTGAGTCATAAGATTAGCATCTAATTTATACACGAGATACCCAATTACAACAGAGAAATTCAGAAAGGAATATATATGAAGTAATATCGAATAATAGGTTTATTATTAAGAAAATGGATTATTTGAAATTTAAGGTATAAAAGAAAGATTTCTAGTTTTCTAGTCTCGTTTCAAGCTGTTGTTTTTTTATAGTCAAGTTTAGATTCTATTTCTGCCAGTGCCCCTTTTTTTCTGAGATACTTTCAGTAAAAAAGAATAATTATTAGCATCAAGCCTTGTGATCATTTGGAATTCTCTGATTCCTGTCCTTGTATCTTCCTTTGTTTCTCCATCCCACAATACTGCAGATAAAAACCAAGACTGTGGCTCAGTGTGTGGAATTCTACTATACTTACAAAAAACAGGTTAAAATAGGCCGGAATGGGACTCTCATCTTTGGGGATGTTGACGCTACCATTGAAAGAGCCGTTAAAGATGAAGCTGAAGTAGATATAAAGGTAACAGATCCCAAGCAGGAACTTCGATGCTAAAAATTATCCTAGATCTCATAGATTGTAGGCAAAGGCATGGAACTTGAAACGGGCGTTTTCCGTCGCTGTGAATTACTTGCAGATGTATAGAAAAAAATTCCCAGAGAAAATGGGAAAATTGCAGAGTTCTACTTTAATTTCATTGGCAGGAGTTATTACAGTGGTTCCCAACATGGAGCCCAGGACCCACAAGGGGGGCGGGGCAATTTGATTTTTAATGGGGGCAATTTGAACCTTGTTTAAACCAAGTTAATGGCCTTTTAGGCTTCCTCCACGTCAGTAGAGTTCACTTTTTGAGTAAAGTAAGAATATGTCACGGGGGCATCAGGGTTTTAGAGATGCTTACGTGGGGCATAGCCAAAAAATGGTTGGGAAACACTGAGCTANGGAAGGATGGAAGGCTGAGTCAACCTTGAGCCGGTGAGATTTGAACCTCTGAACTGCAGAACTGTCAGCTGAAGTGGCCTGCAGTGCTGCACTCTAACCACTGCGCCACCTCAGCTCTAGTTGGGCAAAGACCGAGTGAACATTGATGAATAGTGTGCTGGCATTTTTCTGCTTTACAGAAACTTATTGCCAACTATCCAACTAGTAAAGCCAAAATAAGGAAATACTCTTGCGATTTTTAAAATCCCCAAAGTAAAACTTTATTGGATTCACCATTTTGGTACTGAAGGATCAAAACCAGCTCTGGTTTTTCCCACGCAAATGCTTGCTTAGTTAAACAACAGCTTCCCTTTCTCCCTACCCGAGTGATCACATTGTCCAATTGTGAGACGTCCTTTTGTTATGGGAACAGTCCGTCTCTTTCTCAAGCACCTGCAGCAGTGACCTTGATAGTTGCACAGGTTCTCACGGTCCACACACTCATTCTGAGCATTCGATTTCCCCCTTCCCTCCCCCCACCCACCCCAGTTCATTGGCAAGTTGAAAAATGTTTAGGGTGGAAAGAAGCAAAGCGGTTCAATCTTGACACCCATAAATTCTTACAGTCCGAGAATTACACATTTGATCTTTCTAACAATATTTATTGCTCTGCAGGTAAACTCAACGTGGGTGGGATCGTGGCAGCTGTGGTGGTTGTCCTGATAATCCTGGGACTGGTCATTTTCGGCATTTGGTTCGCTTACAATCGTGGCTATTTTAGCAGTAAGTGGCCAGTTGTGCCCTTCTTGTTTTCACAGAGCAGGAAAATCCTAATTTTGTTGAGGGGTGGGGGATGTTCCTAATAGTTCTGACCCAGCCTTAGCAGAAACAAGAAACAGACTCCTTGTCCCGAAAAAACTCTCTTTATTTATCTTCTGTGAATTAATGTCCAGCCAATAGTCCTTCAAAGAGTTAACTGCAGTAATAGACCTTATAAGTTCCTTGTGATGATGTCCAGGCTCTGAGCTCCCAGCCGAAAAGCTGCAAATTAAGTTCTGGCAAGCAGTCTTTGTTGCACGAAACACAATGAGCAAAATCTTCAGAAATACGAACTGTTGTCTCCTACGACCACCCCTCCCCTTTCCTTCTGTTTATTCCTCAGCCAGGGAGGGGCCATTCAGCATCCACATGTGCCTTGCTTCCCGTGCTGGCTCCTTGTCCTCCGTTGTTCTCCTCTCCTAACAGCTTTGCACATATGCACATCTGGGACAGGCCCCAGCTGTTCTTCCTCCCCACTTATCTCCGCTTCCAAAGGCAGCTGCCTCTCTGGTGGCTGGGAAATGTCGGATGGCCCTGGCTCTTATCTCTGCGTCTCAGAGCCTTCCCCAGGCTCCAGCACTGGCCCACATTCTTCCCCAACCTCCTCATCGCCCGAGTCACAACACAAATCCTGTTTAATAACCCCAGCCCTCCGACTCAAAAGCAGATTTTCTAAGATTTGGGAACTGAGTGGAGTTTAGTAGCCAACAAGATTGCTTTAGTTAGGTGGTCTTCGGCAGACGACCACAATTGGAACCAGAATTTCCATTGCTAAGCAAGGCGGCTGTTAAGTGAGTAGCACTCAATTTTATCATCTTTTTTGCCAGAGTTGTTAAGTGAATCACTGCGTTCATCAAGTGCATCACTGCAATTGTTAAGTGAATGTCTGCAGACCAATCACTGTGGTCGTTAAGTGCATAACTGCAGTCGTTAAGTGCATCACTACTTTCAACTGAATCATTGCGGTCATCAAGGGCATCACTGCAGTCGTTAAGTGAATCACTGTGGTCCTTAAGTGAATCACTACAGTCGTTAAGTGCATAACTGCAATTGTTAAGTGCATCACTGTAGTCATTAAGTGCATCACTGCAGTTGTTAAGTGAATCACTGCTTTCAACTGAATCACTGCGGTCATCAAGTGCATCACTGTAGTTGTTAAGTGAATTACTGCAGTCATTAAGTGAATCACTGTAGTTGTTAAGTGTATCACTGTCATCGTCAAGTGCACTACTGCTTAACCTGTGGCCAGAACGGTCTTAAAACAGGACAGAATTCATCTAACAACCGTCTTGCTTAGCAATGGATATCTGGAGCTCTGGCGTGGCCGTAAGTGGAGGACTCCGTGTATACGCCACTCAAAGTAATCTGGGTGGGGAATTCTGGGAGCCGAAGTCCACCCTTTCTAAATGTGCCCCCCAAACCCAGAGTCCCTGGGGGGGGCCTGATCCAATTGGAGGAGAGGCCAAGTGAATCTCGGTGCCTGAACAAACAGGCCTTGATCCTTTCTAGCCCTGCAAGAGACTCTTCCTTTCTCTTCCTTTCTTGGCTAACTGCTTGTTTGTCTTTTCTTTTCTTTTCCAGAAAGAACAACGTGAGTAGCCTGGTCTTCCTTCCGGCCCACCGTTCTTTGCCGCGTAACCACCAGCCCTGCCGTGAGGTTCCCTTTTCAGGGGGGATGAGGGAGAGGCACAGCTGATCCTGGCACTTTCTCTCTGGTTTACGGGATTTATTCCTCTGATAAAAAGTGGGAGACCCCAGTTCATTTAAAAAAAGAAAGAGCAAACTACAGGTACTCCTCGAGTTACGACCGTTTGCTTAGTGACCGTTTGAAGCTGGTTCCCGCACTTACGAGCTATAACGTGACCACATTTGGGTGCTTATGTTTATGATGGTTGCACCATCCTGGGAGTGCTGTGAAGTTGGCGGAGAAGCTGGCAAGGAAGGCCCCACGTTGCTGAATGCGATGTATGGGCTTAACCACTGCACTGCTTAGTGACCAGTTTTCCAGGCCCAATTGTGGTCGTAACTCGAGAACTACCTGTACAGTAAGTGAAAAGCCATGAAACAAAAATAATCAAAATTAACGTTCAAGCAATTAATTGATGTTTCCCAGCTTTCAGCCCCTGATGTAAATTCCCAGAATCCGCCAATGGACCATTTCCAGAATGTCATGGAACTCCTCAATTGGAGAAGACATGTGGGAGTCGAAGTCCACCAGTCCTAAATTATGTTGTCCAGGGAATTCTGGGAGTCGAAGTCCACCAGTCCTAAATTATGTTGTCCAGGGAATTCTGGGAGTCGAAGTCCACCAGTCCTAAATTATGTTGTCCAGGGAATTCTGGGAGTCGAAGTCCACCAGTCCTAAATTATGTTGTCCAGGGAATTCTGGGAGTCGAA